AGAAATGGGGGAAGGACAGCGGGGGTTGGGGAGTTGGGGAGAGATAGCATGGGGAGAAACGCCAGATATAGGTGAAGGGGAAGAAGGCAGCAAATCACACTGCCATGTGTGTACCTATGCAACAATCTTGCATGTTCTTCACATGTACCCCAAAACCTAAAATGCAATAAAAAAAAATCTGGAGACAACAGATGCTGAAGAGGATGTGGAGAAATAGGAACACTTTTACGCTGTTGGTGGGAGTGTAAATTAATTCAACCATTGTGGAAGACAGTGTGGCAATTCCTCAAGGACCTAGAAATAGAAATTCCATTTGACCCATTACTGGGTATATATCCAAAGGATTATAAATTGTTGTATTATAAAGACACATGAGCACGTATGTTCATTGCAGCACTGTTTACAATAGCAAAGACCTGGAATCAACTCAAATGCCCATCGATGACAAGGAAAATGTGGCACATATACACCATAGAATACTATGCAGCCATAAAATATGATGAGTTCGTGTCCTTTGTAGGGACATGGATGAATCTGGAAACCGTCGTTCTCAGCAAACTGACACAAGAACAGAAAATCAAACACAGCATGTTCTCACTCATAGGTGGGTGTTGAACAATGAGAACACATGGACACAGGGAGGGGAGCATCACACACTGGGGTCTGTTGAGGGGGACTAGGGAGGGACAGCAGGGCAGAGGGAGCTGGGGAGGGATACCATGGAGAGAAATGCCAGATACAGGTGATGGGGATGGAGGCAGCAAACCACATTGCCACGTATGTACCTATGCAACAATCCTGTATGTTCTGCACATGTATCCCAGAACCTAAAGTGCAATAAAATATATACATATATATATAAAGAAAAGAAAAAAAGTTGCCATTTTTATTTTATTAATTACATTTTTTGTAATTTCAATTAATATGCTTTGACTAGCCCTAAATACTAAGATTTTTATTATTTTTTATATTCATCCTTTGTCATTTTTTTGCAAATATTTTTCTCATTCTGTTCATTGCTTCCTTTGGTTACATTATGACGTGAGTCCCCCCAACCATGTAATTTAATCTAATTATAATTTATCACATTTTGTACTCTTCCCAACAATGTCTCATAAATATTAAGACATATTATGTTCCAAATTAGCTGTGGCTTGAAATGCCTCTCCAGATATTTTAATACCTTTACCTAACTAGTATTTACTTTGATCGACAATGTTAGCAGGGATTCTAAACCAATTTCTTTTTTTTTTTTTTTTTTTTTTTTTTTGAGACGGAGTTTCGCTCTTGTTACCCAGGCTGGAGTGCAATGGCGCGATCTCGGCTCACCGCAACCTCCGCCTCCCGGGTTCAGGCAATTCTCCTGCCTCAGCCTCCTGAGTAGCTGGGATTACAGGCACGCGCCACCATGCCCAGCTAATTTTTTTGTATTTTTAGTAGAGACGGGGTTTCATCATATTGACCAGGATGGTCTCGATCTCTTGACCTCGTGATCCACCCGCCTCGGCCTCCCAAAGTGCTGGGATTACAGGCTTGAGCCACCGCGCCCGGCCACCAATTTCTTTTTACAAGCTGCTGGTTAGCTTTCTAACATCAATTTTGGAATAATTTTTACCTGTTATTTGTAATGCCTTTTAAAATCTTATTTGTACCCCCACCCACTTTTAAATTCTGGAAAGTAACATGATCATTTACATTTTCAAAACATGATCCTCGCTGAAATACAGAATGAAAATGGATTACTGTGGAAGGTAAGAATAGAAAATGGTAGTATAGAATTTAACCTTCTCTCTTGGACTCTCATTTTTTTCTCTATATTTCTCATAGATGCCAAAAGGATATTCTTTCTCTACCTTCCCAAAGCACTCTAAAGACACTGTAATTCCCAGAAAGTACCTCTTTCAAGAGAATTCAACTGTGACTGACGATTATTAATTTTATACTTAGACCTTGAAATTTATTCATGCAGAATTCAATTATATACCAATTACAAAAAAATAATTTCATTGGGCTGAGACAGTGTGGCTCATGCCTATAATCCAAGCACTGTGGGAGATCAAGCTGGGTGGATCACCTGCGGTCAGGAGTTCAAATCCAGCCTGGCCAACATGGCAAAAGCCAGCCTCCACTAAAAATATAAAAGAGTAGCTGGGTACGGAGACATGCACCTGTAGTCCCAGCTACTTGGGAGGCTGAGGCAGGAGAATCGAGTGAACCTGGGGGCAAAGGTTGCAGTGAGCTAAGATCACACCATGGCACTCCAGCTTGAACGACAGAGCCAGACTCTTTCTCAAAAAAGTTAATTAATTAAATTAAATAATTTGATCACATCAGCCATCATTTGCCTCTTTCTACTCATCTTTATTTTCCTCTTCTTAGTCCTTGGCTCACTTCCATTTTTCCCTTTCCTTTTGCCTCCCATTCTCACTTTCCATTAACCTATTTAACACATAAGCTTTCCACTTCTATGAACATAAACTCTATACCCCTCTACAAATTCCTAAGCCTAATTTAATTCTGGGGTGTCCCACCAGCACATGAGTTTTATCAATAAAACTTTTGCCAAACAGAGGAAGCTTTGGAAAGAAAAGGCTGTTATGCAAACTTTTATTACAGCTGATTCATAGGCCCAGGTCAAATGAAAGAAGCTTATAAAAAATCTTTTTTTCTTTCTTGTTTGAGACAGAGTCTCAGTCTGTCGCCATGCTGGAGTACAGTGGCGAGATCTCAGCTCACTGCAACCACTGCCTTCTGGGTTCAAACAGTTCTCCTGCTTCAGCCTCCTGAGTAGCTGGGATTACAGGCACACACCATCATGCCTAGCTAATTTTTGTATTTTAGTAGAGACGGGTTTTACCATGTTAGCCAGGATGAGTTCAATCTCCTAACCTAGTGATCCGCCTGCTTCAGCCTCCCAAAGTGCTAGGATTACAGGCATGAATGAGCCACCACACCTGGCCAAAAAATCTTTTTTTTTTTTTTTGAGATGGAGTCTAGCTCTTGTCACCCAGGCTGGAGTGCAATGGCGCAATCTCAGCCCACTGCAACCTCTACCACTCAGTTCAAACGATTCTCCTGCCTCAGCCTCCCAAGTGGCTGGGATTACAGGCACCCACCACCACACCTAGCTAATTTTTGTATTTTTAGTAGAGACAGGGTTTCACCATGTTGGCCAGGCTGGTCTCGAACTCCTGACCTCAGGTGATATGACTGCCTCAGCCTCCCAAAACGCTGGAATGAGAGATGTGAGCCATCAGCCCTGTATTAAAAAATTGTTTCAGTTTAACTTCTATTTGCTCTTATTGATGAAATAAATTACTTAAGATTATATATCAAACATGTATCAAGGGATAACTGTTAACAACACTCCTCAGAACATCTTAAACAAGACAGGGCTAGTCAAAACCTCACCAATTTAGAAATATTATTGTTTTATCATTAGTAAAAACTTGCTAAAAATAACTTTTCAATAAATTATAACAATATACAGAGAATGCTACACAAACATTTGAAAGGACAGCTTTTTTGTTTTAAAACTTTGAACAAATTGCTCAAAGGTAAGTGGGCTGGCTATGCATGATTTTCTTTTTCTTTAAAGTTTTGTTCTTTCGCCCAGGCTGAAGTAAAGTGGTGCAATCTTGGCTCACCACAACTTCCACCTCCCAGGTTCAGGCAATTCTCCTGCCTCAGCTTCCCGAGTAGCTGGGATTACAGGCACCTACCACCATGCCCGGGTAATTTTATATTTTTAGTAGAGACAGGGTTTCACCATGCTGGCGAAGCTAGTCCGAACTCCTGACCTCAGGCGATCCACCCACCTCAGCCTCCCAAAGTGCTGGGATTATAGGCATGAGCCACCTCACCCGGCCATGATTTTCTTTTTTAAATCATGGCTGCTATGAGCTATTTCTTTTGAATAACTAACCTACATCTATACTAATTCAGACCTAACAATCAGTATTTGACAGAACTAAGACAATCACTTTACCTATTCACATAGCTTGTACATCTGGCAAAGTAGAAGCTGATAAAGGTTCATATCTAGTAAATTAACTGTGTATATAAAATGCTGCTCAACAAACTAAGTAATCTGAGTGACTATTTCCAGCAAAACCTCTTGTAAGTTCACAAGTTTCTTACAGAGTTGTATACTACTAAAGGAGTCTCAAGTTTCCAGGAAGTATTCTTTTAAGCTCATTTCAGAGCTGTCATTGAATTATTAAGAGTTAACATGCCTCGGCCGGGCGCGGTGGCTCAAGCCTGTAATCCCAGCACTTTGGGAGGCCGAGGCGGGAGGATCACAAGGTCAAGCGATCAAGACCATCCTGGTCAACATGGTGAAACCCCGTCTCTACTAAAAATACAAAAAAATAGCTGGGCATGGTGGCGCATGCCTGTAATCCCAGCTGCTCGGGAGGCTGAGGCAGGAGAATTGCCTGAACCCAGGAGGCGGAGGTTGCGGTGAGCCGAGATCGCGCCATTGCACTCCAGCCTGGGTAACAAGAGCGAAACTCGGTCTCAAAAAAAAAAAACAAAGAGTTAACATGCCTCAAACACCACATTAAATGCACTGTCAGATTCTAAAATATTTCAAATACCTTATCCTGTCAATGAGAAATTATCCTTTCAGTAACCACAATTTTAACAAGCACAATAAAGAATTTTAAATTACAAAATGATTAAAAATAGATCAGAGGGCTTTGCATTTTTCTTAAGAATGCTCATCTCTGGGTTTTCAAAGAAATATTAAAAACCAAAATATTTAACCTTCATAACTAAACATTTTAAAGGGAACGTAAAAACCAAATGTTCAAACCACAAAAAAAAAAGAGTACTGAAGTTTTCTATAACCTATGTAAGGTATAGTGAAATTCATCAAAAGTCAAATCCCTCATGAAATTGAGTACATAATAACAGTAAGTATAAAAAGCAAATTACTTCTACAACAAAGCAATGAATTCTCAAGCTTCTCCGAGTTAAAGCAAAATCATATTACTTACGTAATAGACGGATCCACTTGTTTATAAGCATGGGCAGCACAAGACCCACAGTACGTATATCCTGCATGGCTACAAAACAAAATATTTTTACACTTAATCATCAGATTCAAAATCAAGATATTCTAGAAAGAAAAAACTTCGAAATAAATACAGTAACTATGATAAACACAACAGAATTGAGAGCATACGTTAAACAGCAATGTTGTTAATGATGCCACTTCTAGAAGAAATTAGGGAACAAAAGATCTATACTGTGTTCCAATTCGAAACTTTAAAAATATTTTGTCATTTTTTTTGTCTGAAAGACAAATTTAGAGGCGTTTAAGGTTTACTTGAAGTTGCTATGTAACACAATTATTGTGGTTCTTTTGTTTTTTGGTTTTTTGGGGTTTTTTTTGTAGACAGAGTCTCACCTTGTCATCCAGGCTGCTATGCAGTGGTACAATCATGGCTCACTGCAGCCTCAACCTCCCAGGCTCAAGCAATCCTCCTGCCTCAGCCTCCTGAGTAGCTGACACCATAGGCACATGCCACTTATCTGGCTAATTTGTAATTTTTAACAGACCCGAGGTCTAGCTATGTTGCTGAGACTGGTCTTGAACTCCTGGGGTCAAGTGATCCTCCTCCCTCAGCCTCCCAAAGTACGGGAATTACAGGCATGAGCCACTACACCTGGCCTACAATTGAGTTTTTAATACTCCTCTTCAGTAGCATTAGCAGACTATTACAGAAAAATGACAAACCAACAGGACGTCAAGTCAGACAAAAACAAATACCCTGCAACTATTAAAATACCTTCTGTGTCTTTAGAGATAAAAATAAAGATAAAGACAAAGATGATTATTCTAATTTTCTCTCCATACTATTCTTCCCTTTCATCCTCTGGTCTCCAAACTCAGTCATTTCTCTTGTCACCTACAGAATGACTGTTTCTTGGTCTCAAAAGATATATGAAAAAATAGATATATATCCATACAATGGAATACTCTTCAGCAATAAAAAGAAATGAATTACAGACACTCAAAATAATTAAATAAATATGCTGAATGGAAGAAAGTCAAACAAAAAGAGTTCATTCTGTCTGATTCCATTTAAATAAAATTCTAAATAGCAAAGCATGATGGCACATGCCTATAGTCCCAGCTACTCAAGAGACTGAGGCAGAAGGATTGCTTAAGCCAAGGAGTTCTATATTACAGTAAGCTATGATCACACCCACAATCCAGCCTGATGACAGAGTGAGATCCCGTCTCTTAATATATATGTGTATGTATATATATATATATATATATATATATATATATATATATATAGAGAGAGAGAGAGAGAGAGAGAGAGAGAGAGAGGGGAAGAGAGGGGAAAAAGAGGTACAGAAAGGAAGAATTATAAGGGAACACAAGGAAACTTTTGAGGGTGATGAATATGTTATTTTCTTGATTGTGATAGTTTTACCCTCATACACATGTCAAACATCAAATTGTGTGGCTTAAATGTATACACTTGTATGCCAATCATATCACAATAAGGCTCTTTTTTAAAAATGGTCCTAATCTGAACTAGCTCAAGTATGAATGGAGAAAATGAGACTCACAGCACTCTACCACAGCAATACAAGACAGTAGTGGTGCTTAACCAGGAGCTCAACAATATGGAATACACACTAAGCTCACTGAAATCATTGAAGGTCTTAATTAATGGTAGTCACTCTATCCCTACACCTCTGGTGAAGGAGCCTATCAAGTTGCCTCAACATAGCAATATTCTCACAACCCAGTTTTGATCTTAGCCAAAAGGAAATTCTTTAGCTCAGTATACTCAGTTTTGATCTCATCCTACACTAGTCTTAATACTAGAGCCTAACCAGGAGACCTATTCTATTCTGTTATGACTCTAATCTCTGAGTTCCTGAGACCTCACTGCTCACTGCTTCAGATTCCTAACACCTAGTTCTTGATCTTAACTGATTCTCTTACCAATTTAGAAGAATGCCATCTTGCCTGTCCATGTGGACCTTAAAGCCACCGGGTCCATCTGGATCTGCCCAGGTCTACCTGAAACCTTAATGACATTTCAGATTTTCAACACTGCCTTCAAACTTTGCTCTCAGTTGTCACTCATATACCATCCTTTCAATGCCTTATCCTTATATCTTAAAGTGCTCCTTTCACTTTATATCAGCTTTTCAGACATCAGTTCCTCTTTATCATTCTTAAATTTAAAGGCTCTAATCCGCAATCCATACCCTGATCTCTAAATCAACCCGTCTTTCTAGTCTGAGTCTCTCCCATTTCTACCAATCCTGTTCCTGACCAAGCTCAGTTCTTCACATCCAGAAAGGCTTCTTACAAACACTGGATTCTTCCCATCACTGTACTCCACCCTGGGTGACTGAGCAAGACTTTATTTAAAAAAAAAAAAAAAAAAAAAAAAAAAAGACAAGAAAAGAAAGAATCACTGGATTCTTGAAGTATGGCTAGGACAGAAATAGCAGGAGTACAAGGGTAAGGACATTAAGGAAGAGCATAAAGACTAAAGGAAGAACATGAGCAAATGTCCAAGTACATAATGTAGATGAGAAAATTCAAGACTGGCCTGAGTAGAGGAAAAGAGTAATGATAAGCCAGAGTCAGGTAAAGGAATATGGGCTTGATAAAACAAGATACTAAAAAATGCTGTGGGCTCTTGGGCATGGGTGTGTCAACATCAAACTGTTATTAGTCCAGTACTGAAAAGCACTGGCACAAACTAGCTATTAGTGGCAGGAGAGTGTTAATAGGACCTCTCTTGGAAATTGTGGCAGTACTTGCCCAAGCATGAGGTACCAATGTCATGGTCTGGAACTGTATTAGTGCTGGTGGGCAAAGAGAAGCAAATGTTAGAGTCTAAAAAAGAAAAATTGGGCCGGGAGCGGTGGCCTACGCCTGTAATCCCAGCACTTTGGGAGGCCGAGGCGGGTGGATCACGAGGTCAAGAGATCGAGACCATCCTGGTCAACATGGTGAAACCCCGTCTCTACTAAAAATACAAAAAATTAGCTGGGCATGGTGGCGCGTGCCTGTAATCCCAGCTACTCAAGAGGCAGAGGCAGGAGAATTGCCTGAACCCAGGAGGCAGAGGTTGCGGTGAGCCGAGATCGCGCCATTGCACTCCAGCCTGGGTAACAAGAGCGAAACTCCGTCTCAAAAAAAAAAAAAGAAAGAAAAAGAAAAATTGACAAATCTCAGTGACTGAGTATGGGAGATGAGAATAATGATAATAATAGTAGTAACATTTACTGACTACTTACTATGTTATCAGGCACTCTTCTATGCACTTCACAGTATTAAATTATTTAATCCTCACAGCAACTCTATGAGGTAGGAATTATTATTATTCTCATTTTACAGATGAAGAAACTAAAACAGAGAGATTAAGAAACTAGCTCGAGTTCACATAGATAGATAGCCAGTGACCAAGTCAGGGCTTAAGCTGGGACTGCCTGGCTCTAGAATACATACTGTTACCCACCATAAGAGATCTTCACATGTTTGAAGGATGAAAGGAAGGAGTCTGTGGCATAGGAAAAGCAACAAGTCAAAAACAAGAATTCTTACACAGTCATATACCCTATGAAACTACAGGAAAGAATGAAAGTTTTGAAAACACAATTAGCTAAGGTAAATATATGATTAATAATGGAACTCAGATTTCATGGTTTCAGTCCATGCAGAAGCTGAAGGCTTCCAAGTCTGCTTGAAGTAAAGACAAAACAGTTACAGGGAGAGAAGGAGAGTCTTAACTTGAAAAGGTCTTAACTTCGACTATACTACAGAGTATTGAAAAAAAAAAATCTTTCAGTGCACCATGCTTCTTAACTCCATCACAAAGGACTTCATGAAAGGAGGAAGAAGATAATAATCAAGGAAGATAATTTCGTGTACTTTCCTTTATCCTAACCCAGAAACATGATAATAAAGAAAATCAGAGTAATAACCATCAAATCTCACTACAGATGCTCTTTTCCTACCCCTTCTCTTGCTAACAGAATCTATGATTCTACATGTACATGGAAACAATGTTTTATCAAGAGATGGTTCATAATAAAGGAGGCTTCACTAAAAAATGGCTAAAGTTTTTTCTTCTGTCCTAACAGCCAGAACAATGAAAATTTAAGATATTCTAACATGTACTGTAAAAGTGTGTCCCACTCAGTCTTTTAAAATCTCTTAAAGTCCTTAATGCAAAAAAGCCATCTCCACTAGCTTTTCCAAGACACTTTGGTTCCCAATCTAATATATCATGAAGGCAAATGCAAAATTATACTTAAAACCTACAATATTTTATTATTTTCATTAGTGGAACCTTGCCACTAAAAATTGATCCTTCTTTTAACAGGGAGTGCTTTTGCTTCTCCCTTTGCTTCTACACAGTAGACCCTTTACATCAGGAAGTCCAGTTCCTGAGACTAGAATTTCTGTTTTCCCTGTGGAGCTGCAATCAAGTGAGGATGCAAAGGCCATTCATTGCTCATGAACATTTACTGGTTAAGTGACAGTTTCCCACACAGCAACCTTGCTGTTTGGGTATAATTCAAATTCTTACCTCAGAAAAATGACCAATTACTACAGGACATGGATTTTCACTTGTTCATTCTGAGACCTTCAAGGTCACAAGTGAATAGTATAAATTGTCAATGCCAAGAGTCATAATAAAGAAATACTTAGCGAGGATTCAACAAAGTCAGGTTCAATACTCCTAGTTCTACTTAACAGTAGCAAAATGCAAAATAAAAAGGTTGAAGTAGATGAAATAAACTGAACCAGAGGAAATGGAGAGATCTCCAACAATAAGTCACAAAATCTACTTAAGCTAGCGTAAGATCAAAAAAGCTAGAAACTAAATTAGAAAACTCCTCTGAACAGATGGGATCAATTTGATTGACAACTGGCCCTAAATAATTTGCAAAAGCAGCAGCTTCCACATTGCCTTTCTCAATTTCATTTTGCTGTACTTAGTCTTTTATTCTTTTATTTTGTAGGCATTGCTCAATGGCCCTCAAGATTCCTGTTTTGATTTAAAAAAATAAAAAT